TAAGACAAAATTACCGATTGTATCTGGATAAACGCGGCTTCCAAATGGACGTGCGATATTTCACGGAGACTTTAATGCGACGGCGCATTTGGGCTTAATTACTGAGGCGTTGTTGACGTTAACGCCCGGGAACAGCTGCCGGGGGCGGGGGTCCACGAAACTCCTCGCGCCGCGTCGCGCCGTGTGGCGATCAGCGCTGTTGGAAGGGGGGTTGGTGGACCATGCAAAGATATCGCCTTGTGCTCTTGAGCGCAGTGGTAGTTGCTGGCCCATTGGGGGGCTCTAAGCAGAAATGTTGAGGCATGGGGGGGAGGCCCCCCTTTTCCCCAAGAATAACTTGCTCGTGAGACGACGGAAGAGCCACAGACGTGAGTGTAATGCGATGTCGCGCGATGAGAGATGCAGGCAAGATAGAGGCGAGGGAGATTAATTGGCTTCTTATGTTAATTGTTTTGTTATTTTTCTCAGGATTTTCAAGTGAGATAATATTGGACGCACTGAGATATTGTCTTTAATCAACCCGAGGCCCCTCAGCTGCTTGGGGCCCTGACGCTGTTATTTCGTTTGCTGCTGCCTGTCGCCACCGCTGGCTGAGAGAGGTAGCCACGACAGCACGGTGGGTCCCTGACATTGATGCCCCGTGAGTCTTCTCTGGGCACTCCGGTGTCTTTGCTGCATGCAAAATGTGCATAACAAGGGGCCCAGACATCCAGATGCGGGACCCTCCCGAAGAAGGCGCCGTGGGACTCAGTGAGTCTTCCCTTGCTCCACTCAGAGATGAAAACTCCGGCTTCGTGGTGCCGCGGTTCGAGCGCTGGACCCACGAGCTCCTTGGGAAGCCGACTAAACCTATCATCTCGCGGAGGTTCATAAATCGGCCCCTATTTTCTGTCGTTCTTCCGGTCAAGGTCTCCGGTCAAGCAGCCCCGCTGATGTGCACGCTGCTGGCAGCAGCGGCGCTGTTAGATGCGCGAGCTAATATTGCACCGCATTAATCATGTTCCAGGAGGTCATCTCCGTCAATTGCGCTGATGCCACCGCACATCGCCTTTGCTTTCTTCCTTCTGCCAGATCCAGCAGGCTGGTGCACACGTGGCAAATCTCCATCGCTATCATCACCACCACCACCATCATCACCATCACCACCATCATCACCACCACCATCATCACCACCACCACCATCACCACCATCACCACCACCACCATCATCACCATCATCACCACCATCACCACCATCACCACCATCACCACCACCATCACCACCATCACCACCACCATCACCACCATCACCACCATCACCACCACCATCACCAACATCACCACCACCATCACCACCATCACCACCATCATCACCACCACCACCATCACCACCACCGTCATCGCGACCACCGCCATCTGGCTGTCGGTTTCCTCGATTGCTGACCTTTGGGTGCCACTCCAATGCTCGTCTTGGTAACATTGTCCTCATTCAGCCTGCTCGCGTGCCCTTTACAATACAACCTCCCATGTTTATTTTAATGGGAGGTTGCGGTGGTGGGAATGGCTACGACAGACCTGGGCACAAATGCTAAGGCCAACTGAGCGATGCAGATGTTTTTCAGAAGCAACCTGCCCGTAAATGAGAGTTCAACGAAGTGGCTTATCACGTGGACATTTATAGTAGCAGCCAAATACTCTAAACGCGTGATGCTGATTCTAAATGTGTAGGTAAAATCAGGAGGACTCGGAGATAATCCACGCGACCACGGGGGGACCATCATAACTCCAAATAACAAGCAGCAGGCGTCAGGGATCGAACCCACGACCTCCTGTATACTAGGCGAGGTAGTTAACATCTCCGAGCCACGGCGACCCTTGCTTCACAGAGCGGCGCCTTTTCTCGCCATTTGTCAACGCAACGCCACGAGCAGGACAGAGCTGGGCACACGTGCGATGTAAATTGATTTGGGTTCGTGCATTCATTCATTAAAATCGAATCAAAGGCTCGCGCTGTTTACTTATGCATGTGCATTTTAATATATTGTGGGGGAGGAAGTGGTGGCGCGGTAGTTGGGAAAACTGCGCTCTGATATTCCTCTTTGTGTGGTTGATGTTGGCGGAGAGCAACAGCTGCGCTGCTTATATCGAGGTGGCTGAGCCAGAATAATTGCGGCAGGAGTCGCGAAGTGGTGCCATCGCAGCTGTGACGACGCCTCCTCCTCCTCATCCTCCTTATTCTTCTTCTTCTCATTCTTCTTCTTCGTGTTCGTGAATCCGCGCCACTGAGTCGTCGTTGACGTTGGTCGCGCTATGATGAACGCCGGTGACTTGAACTCGGTTCAGCAAGAGATATCTGAACGGATTCTACGCCTCATCTCGATTCAGCAAGAGATCTCTGAACGGATTCTACGCCTCATCTCGATTCAGCAAGAGATCTCTGAACGGATTCTACGCCTCATCTAGGTCGACTCGGTCTTGAAAGACGCCTTATTATAAATGATAGCTAAACGATGTGGCTTATAACGTGGAAATGTATAGCTGCCAAATACTCTAAAGGCGTGATGTTGATTCTTAACGTGGAGGGAAATCCACGTGGCCACGGGGAGAGGAAGAGACCAACAAACTCCAAATATGCAGCAGCAGGTGTCAGGGTCGGGATCGAGCCACCCACAAGCTCGTGTCTGCCAGGCTAGCGAGTGGACGTCTCGCCCATGTGGCGTCCGGAGTATGGGGAACAATTCCCATGATGGACACATGGCCATGAGCCATTTATCCAGCTGATGATTCACAAAGGGAATAATAATTATTATGTTTTCATTAATTAATTCAAGTCCTTTATTTGAAACCAGGTAAGAGCTCATTGAAATGAGAACTCCGTTTTAAATGGACCCAAGCCCGTAGCAATTACGGGATGAAAGTGAAACATCAAAGCCTAACACATTACGAAAACAATCGCTATTTAATTCTCAACACGAAATTAAATTTACGAATTAAATTTAAAGATCAACAGTAGGTTAGGGAAAGTCCAAACAGGTGCACATTTAAACAGCTTTCAAAAAGCTGCATTTCAATCGTTTGGCCTTTCCTCTTTAAGGTACAATTAGATTTATGAAATCGACTGAACTATGGTGAAACAACCCGAGCATGTTCACAAGAGAAGATGCACAACGTGCAGGCACCCTGCACACACACGGGTATTACACAGGGGGTTCTACACGCAGATTGGCCCTGCCATAGAAACGAGGAACTTTCATCATTAGCTCAGTCACCAATGGAAATGAGCGCCACTTTGTATAGAAAAGATGACCATGAACGTTGTGAGTGTGTGAGTGGCTGGATTGGTGAGTAGATGGGTGTGTGTGGCTGCGTGAGTGGCTGGGGGTTTGGGTGGCTGGGTGAGTGGGTGGCTGGGTGAGTGGCTGGATGTGTGGGTGGCTGGGGGTGTGAGTGGCTGGGTGTGTGGGTGCCTGGGTGAGTGGCTGGATGTGTGGGTGGCTGAGGGTGTGGGTTGCTTGGGGTGTGGGTGGCTGGCAGAGAGAGTGGTCGGAGTACCGCTGGATAGTTGACCCGGTTGGCTGGGTGAATGTATGGCTTGGTGTGCGAGTCAATGGTTGGCTTGGTGAACGGCTGAATGAGTGAGAGCACAGAACAGCTGGGGCTTCTTCGCCTTGGAGCTCCTCCAAGGGATCTGAATCGAGGCGGCTGTTCTCGATTTAAATTGTCGTGGGTTCATCCGGGAGGGAGAGGCGGTGGATCTGGCCTCGCTCGCCACGGGACGCCCTCGCTCAGCGCTTTTCCACCGCACAGCCCCGCGCCCCGAGTCAATTAAGCGAGCGGTGGGGGGGGGGGGGTTGGCATTCGTCCGCCTCGTATTTGTTAAGGACAGGATGGGGTAGTGTGGCCACAGCCACGCCGGGTCGCCTTTGTCTTCCTAGTCATTGCTGACGTATAAAAGATGTTGTTATTGTTGTTGTTGTTGTACCAGGTACAGTGCTAGATAGAGAGGAGGGACCTGGGGGCACCCCACAAGAGGCCGGGACGCATCTCGCTGTTGTGCTCACCGTGGCCGGGGCTTGAACGCAGGTCGCGGGGTTCGGAGCGCAGTGCGAGAACCCGCGGCACCGCTCGCAAGCGCATGCACACCGAGTATTACATAACCCTCCTTACAAAGACAAAGATCCCCCGTATAGACATGACGGACTTTTGTGGGCATTATTAACGAGCACCTGTGAGGGTCGGCACGTTCACACGAGGGATTGGATGGCCAGAGTCACGCCCGACTGCCTTTGTCTCCCCAGTGGCGATGTTTACACACCGCACCAGGTACTCATTTGAGGCTGAGTCGACCTAGGAGAGGCCCAGGACTGGTTCAGACAATCGTTATCACCGGTGTTGACCTTCTTCGGGAATCCAATTCGGGCCGCCGGGTTCGCAACGCAGCGCGCGAACCGCTACAAAAGACAAAGATCCCCCGTGCAGCCTTAGCAGACTGTTAGTGATGTTTACACACCGCACCAGGTACTCATTTTATAACGGGTCGACCGAGGGGGACGCGCAGGAACAGATCCGACATCACCCAGCACCGATGTTAACCGTGCCGGGGATCGAACTTCGGAGATCGGGTTCGCAGCGCAGGCCTTCACCACCCCCACCGCTCCCCGCAATACGCCGACAGACCCCGGCATCGAGAGCCACAGGCGCCCACGCTGCTGCTTGTCTGCACCTCCAAGCAACATCCCCCAACACTCCCTCTCACCCCCCACCCAACACCCGTACCTACCGCCTTCCAACTCCCTCCCCCTCCAATCTCCCACCCTCCTCCCCTAGCCTCCCCACCCCTCCCCCTCCAATCTCCCACCCTCTTTCCCCAACCTTCCTCTCCTCTCCACAAATCTTCCACCCTCTTCCAACCTCCCTCCGCTCTTCCCTTTCAATTCTCCAACCCTCCTTCGCCCCCACCCCTAATTTCCCACCTTTATTCCCCAACCTCCCCGCTGCCCCAATTCGCCCACCCTCTTTGCCCGCCAGCACCTCGCTGCTGCATCGGACCATTCAAGTTTATGCGCTGCCGATGAAGCGAGAGGGCGAGAGAGATGGGAACGGCGCGGTCTATCTGCGATCAACAGTAGCGAGGGCTGCATGTGACAGGCGGCAGACTTACTCCGCTAACTATAACAACACACAGCGGCCTCTGCGCCGGGACAGAAGACCCACACAGCAGCAGAGACACACAGCAGCAGAGACACACAGCAGCAGACGCACAGAGAGACGAGACGCAGAAAGAGAGAGAGGAGACGCCTGGATTCTTATCCGCAGCAGTATCTCGTGCAAACATTCGAGGCTCGCACTCCCGACTAGATTGTGCACGCGCCCTCGTCATCATCATCATCACCTGCACACACGACTTGTTACGCATTCACTCGAGGCACGCCACGTGTGTCTGCTGTCGTGTCGGCTCTCTTGTTCGCTGCAGAGCAGTGGCGGTGGAAGTAGCGGGCTGATTCGCAGCGAGTGGCACTGGCCGAGCGAGCAGGAGAACAGCGGGAACACGCGCGCCCACGTATACTAGATGCACACGAGGCCACGCGCGCGTCGTCTGACGCACACGTAGCGCAGGTGTCGAGTTGGCGGTCGCTGAGTGATGAGTCGACGGGAGTCCGCCACTGCGTCACCATGGTCTTCAGCTTCGTCGCCTTCTGCTACATGCTAGCCCTCGTGCTCTGCTCCGCTCTGCTGTTCTTCGCCGTGTGGAGGGTGAGTTGATGTCCATGCCTCGTACACCTGTGTAATCCTCCATCAGCATCACCATCATCACGATCACTATTCCTCTCCCAGCTAAATCACAATTTCATGTTAAACTGTCCGTCCATTCTTTATGGTAACTTCACTTGCAATTGCTTTTGACTGCATAGCGCATTGTCCGTTCACACACGAGCGGTTACTATACTCGCAGCTGTGCCTGTTAAATGTCTCACCTTGTGTCACTTGTGCTATGTTCCAATCTGGAGATGAATGTGCCCGAGCCGATTTGCGCTGCAGGTAATTATGCGTTGCAATATTTTAAATGTCTCAGCAAGTGACACATGCTGTTGTTTTGTACTGACTGTGTGTTGTTGCTTTCGTGATGTTGGTGCCCCAGGTCACTCTTGCAATTGAGACTCATCCTGGTATCTTGACTTCTAACCTGGCTAAACAAATAACCTTGACACTATTATTGTTATTGTTGTATGTATGTAGCCAACCGTGCTAACCTTGAGATGCAGTTTTCTATAGCCGAGCATATGCTCGGTATTTGCATGATGTTGTGAGATTTGTGATCGTGGTGGTATTTTATTGTCACTGACAATAAAATACCACCACGATCCAGGTAGTGGAGGTGCGTCGCTTATGGAAACCCATCAAGTGGTTGTATAATGAGTGAACCGATCCCTTCCATAGGAACGTGGAATTTCTGCCACCGTCTTGGGGGGGGGGGGAGGTTGGAGGGGAGGCGGGGGAGGGGGAGAGCTCCAACAGAGATGACAATCGAATACGAACGCTCCCATGGGTGCATGTTGGCACCGTGGTGCGCGTGGCTTGATTAGTTCAGACGCAACTAATGAGTTCTACAGTAATCTGTGGTGGTGTTTGACATTTATACTGGGGCAGAAATGTAAAACCAACGTGGCTGATTGTGCCACGCGTTCGTGATTGGCGGCTCCAATATAATAACAATTCTACACGGAGGCTCCTAAAGCGACAAGAGATTGGCGGATCCAATATATAAATATGGAGCGCTCTTACGTGAGATGCGTGAGAGACAGCGGGACGTTCTATCACCACTCATCGTTTTTGCCAAAAAGACGACGTCTCTCTGCTCACACCGAGCACTGGGCAGTGCTCACCGATCTAACCCCGTGCCAGGGGTGTGGAAAGATCCACGTTCTTGTGGCCGGTGGCGGGTATGTTTTTCATTAGCACGATCACTATGGACGGTTAGTTCTCGACCTTGGAGTGATGATGAGCTGAGTCAAATCCTCCTCTGACCGGGATTTTGAACTCTCACGCATTTGGCACCAGTCGAGATGTCTGCCAACTGACAGCAGATTATCTGGTGATGCCGCTACGGAATAGCAGTGGCACACAACCGCAAATTACAACAAACACTCTCGTCACGAACACTGTGGCCTTAAAAGAAACAAATATGTAATGGTAGACGTTTCGGGCAATGGTCCTTCTTCAGAACACATAAACAGAGAGAGCAGAGAGATTAAGGTAATACAGTTTAGAAACGACACTTAACGCCACGAGGGCCTGATGAGAATTACATTTAAAATATGTTTTCCGATTACCATTTTATGAATGGCCATAGGAATAGTTACACTAACAGGAGCTAATGAGTAGCAGACACAGGCTCTTGAAGAACGCGTCATTAAAAACGTGGATTTCTCATCAGGCGCCATCGTGTTCACTGCACTCTACAACCCTTTCTGTCTCTCTGGCCTCTGGGGACGTGCTCTGAATAAGGGCCATGGCCCGAAACGTCAAAGATTATTTATATTAGTTTCAGGCTGTGTGTTGACACATAGCAGGGAAATGAAGGGCCATTTGAAAGCGCTCAAAGGCCAAAATGTCACCGATTGGTATATATCGGTGTTTGTTTCTTTAAAGGCAGGCAGTGTGTTTGCCAAATCTCTCTTTACTTATTTAATTTTACCAGGTAGAGCCCACTGAGCTATGTGGCTCTTTTTCAGTAGCGACTTGGTCTCAAATGAGAGCCCAACGGAAGTGGCTTAATACGTGAAAACGTACAGCAGCCAATTACTCTAAACGCGTGTTTCTAAATGTGGAGGGAAAACCCGGAGGACCCGGGGACAAATCCACACGACCACGTGGAGAGAGACGAAAACTCCAAATACACAGCAGGCGTCAGGCTCGGGATCGAACCCACGACCCCCTGTATACCAGGCGAGGTAGTCAACATCTCCTCGCCACCGTGTCGAGTGTGGAGTTGTGTGGGTGGCGCGCGCTCCCACGCCGCCTGCGGAGCGGCTGTTTCACGACGAGCTCTGCTTGACCACAGCCCCATCCTCTCCGCTCGTCATGCTCCCTGTCGGAGCAGGCGGTGTTAGTTTTGTAGAGTTAACCACTTCTCAGCAGCAAGAGACTTATTCTCAACTGTCAAACAATAGCAACACGCTGCAGACACACACACAGGAGTGAACGCGCAGCGAGCGTAAATGCTGTGGTGTTTCTTCGTCCGCGTGCACAATGGCGCGAGCGGTGGCGGTGCGCTGAGCGCGAGATGGCTGTGAGCGAGTCGGGGTCTGTAAATCGTGAGATGGCTGTGAGCGAGTCGGGCTCTGTAAATGGCCCGCTCTGTTGGCCGTGTCAACGGCACGCGCCAGGATCACAATCGGACGGTCGTGAGTTGAAACCTCGGCCTCGTCCCTGCGAGCAGATGATCCCCTCGGGTCGATAAAATAGGTTCAACTTATGTGAAAAGTCAAGTTGTTGTTATGATAGACTGGCCCCCGACATGGGAATGTCGAATTTCCAACCACCAATGGCTTAAGGGACGTCCGTCCACAGCTTGTTATGAGGAGAGAGAGAGAGAGAGACACCGTGAGCTCACCTCACGGCGTGAATACAGAACCTTGCGCCAGGAGATGCGGGACATTGCCACCCTCACCGAATCGGACGTTCAAACAACGTCGGCGGTCCACACGGAGGCCACACGTCACGACTTCTGAAACTCGTTGAAAATACCCCCCACCTCCTCTAGTACCCGATTCGTGCAGATAAGATGCCCGCAGCGACTGGATAGATGTTGTAGAGGTTAGTGATAGATGTTGTAGATGTTGTAGATGTTAGTTATAGATGATGTAGATGTTGTAGATGTTAGTTATAGATGTTGTAGATGTTAGTGATATATGTTGTAGATGTTGTAGATGTTAGTGATAGATGTTGTAGATGTTAGTGATAGATGTTGTAGATGTTGTAGATGTTAGTGATAGATGTTGTAGATGTTGTAGATGTTAGTTATAGATGATGTAGATGTTGTAGATGTTAGTTATAGATGATGTAGATGTTGTAGATGTTAGTTATAGATGCTGTAGATGTTAGTGATAGATGTTGTAGATGTTAGTGATAGATGTTGTAGATATTGTAGATGTTAGATATAGATGTTGTAGATGTTAGTGATAGATGTTAGTGATAGATGTTGTAGATGTTGTAGATGTTAGTGATAGATGTTGTAGATGTTGTAGATGTTAGTGATAGATGTTGTAGATGTTGTAGATGTTGCGTGGAGGCTTCTGTGGAAGTGGTCGGTGTCGCGGGCCACGTGGCGTGAAGTCGCGGGCCACGTGGCGTGAAGTCGCGTCGTTAACCCTTGTAAGGGGGGACGGCTCTTCACACACAGCCTCGGCGGGGCACCTCCAATCTACACCACGTCACCACAGCTCCCGCGGCGCCCTGACACCGCTGTCTCCGCGGTGGTTGTGCACTCGAGCGAGCGTCCCCACGGTCTCCGGGCCGACATTCCGTCAGCGCGCTCGTCCATCGGTCAACGCCTCATCACCCCCCACGCCACGAGGCGCACGTCCCTCAACACCGCCCTTAGCTCGCAAAGCCACGTGATGTCTGTGATTGGCGTTGGTTCAATGATCCATCTGTTACAACTTTTAGTGCATATCCGAGCACACCTATCTCTCTCTGTCTCTCTCTGTCTGTCTCTCTCTGTCTATCGTGTTCGCTCCTGTCTCTGATTCAAGGACAAAGATCCCCCGTGTAGCCTTAACAGACTGTTGGGGCAAGTGCTGTTGGCGAGTAGCACCTATGAAGTCCAGCACGGTACATGAGGGGGTGGGTGGCCAGCACCACGCCCGACTGCCTTTGTCTCCCCAGTGGCGATGTTTTTACACAACGCACCAGGTACTCATTTGAGGTTGAGTTGACCTAGGGGAGGCCCTGGGCCGGTTTAGATAATTATCGTCACTGGCGTTGGCCATGACTGGAAATCGAACTCGGACCTCCGGGTTCGTAACGCAGCGCGCGAACGGTTACACCACCGCTCCTGACATCTGATCCACATCATGACACACACACACGTAGACACGTGTTGGGGCTGACAGGCACGTGGTCACATTCATTTGTCATCACAATCCACGCTCTCTCCGCTGCTGGATTGGCGCTACATTCACATGCGAGCGAGGCTCAGCTCGTGGCATCACGTCCACGATGATGATAATCATCTGTGGTGACGAGCCTGCACGCTCTCTCCACCGCTGCAGCGCGGCGCTCCGTACCCAGAGAGGCGCGCCAGGAGTGAGAGGGCTTCACGCGTGGCGAGCATCACGCTTGCGTGCAGCAGCAGCGGCATCATCACACGCCGCTACACACAGGGCGCGCTCCAGTGCCTCCGCAAGCCGGGCAGCCGGGGCACGACGAGGAGGATGAACGGGGGGCGGGGGGCGTTTGACGAGGGTAGCGGGCGAGGGGGGGAGAGGGATCGGTGGTGGCTGGGCACACAGAGGGAGCAGGGGAGGCGCGGTCCGTGCATTTCCCGTCGTAGATTCGTGATGTAAATCCGGAGCAGATGTCTTGGGTGTTAATTAGCATCGGAGAGGCCGTCTCACACGAAGAGAAATCACCCAACAAATAGGGCGATTTATGGATCGTCACGCTCGCAAATTGACAATGCGACGATTTATGCCACTCGAATCGGATTAAACACACGCACACACAAACTCACACGTGCACTCACACGTGCACTCACACGTGCACTCACACGCACACACAAACTCACACGTGCACTCACAGACAACGCCCCCACCGCCTCCGTTATAGATGTTCAGACTGTTGGGGGAAGTGCTGTTTGCGAGCACCCATGAAGGAGGGACGGCATGGCGGACAAGGAGGGGGGTGGTTGGCTTGCACCACACCCGGCCGCCTTTGTGTCTCTAGTGCTGTTGAAGTTGTACCCACCGTGCCAGGTGCTCACAGCTCCCCTGGAAGCCCACGTGCGTCTCACTGATCCTAGTGGGTGGAGCTGTGCACTGGAATTGAACCCCGTAGGCATCCTTGCAGCATCAGCGGCTTTCGGCTGTCATCGAAGAACGTCGGTCACTGCATCATCGCGCGCTTTCAGATGCGCTTCTGCGGCCGTCTGGAACGCTCTTCCTTTCCGATATTAGGAAGCCACTGGAGCTATGCACTTTTAAATCATCTAGATTTAAAACTACATTTTTTAGACCTGATTTGTATTTTAGTGTGTTGTCCTTCCCCCGAACCTGCAATAAGCACGGCTGGCTACCTACGGTGCGAATTAAGTTCAACATCCACACACACAGGTCGCCGGGTTCGTGTGGCGGTGTGCTAACCACTGCGACACCGCTCTCCACACACGCACACACACGCACACACGTGGATGTAGAATCCCTCACAATGAGATATTAATGACTTGACCAAATGCCGACAACCGCAAAAAAAGAACAGCTTGGAGTAATTAATAAGCTAATGATAATGACGAAGGATACAACAGTGATGGATAATTTTACTCGCTCTAATTTAAATGGCTCTTTAATGAGTCTGCTACAAAGGCCTTCACAGTCTTGTCCTTAATTCACACTGCTCTATAAACACGTATGCTAATATAATTAGCCCGTTCTGATCATCAGAGTGAAGTTTGGTAAAAAAAAACATCTCCATTATGGACAAGGTTTAAAGTATTGGGGAATTGGGAATGACTGGAGTATCTGTGCACTGTATATATATGTGGTATATGTGCACTGTATATATGGTATATGTGCACTGTATATATGGTATATGTGCACTGTATATATATGTGGAATATGTTATCAATGGCCCTTCATAGCACATCGATGTAATAAATAGATGTGCTATGAAGAAGAGACATTGCCCGAAACGTCGCTTATTCATTACGTATTTATTTTCAAGGCAGCGTTGTTGCCGAATGTGTTGAGTCTCAGGACAAGTAGACACACTCGCTTTTAAACAAATCATTAACCACAGGTCACTGTTTGCTTGATTTCTGGCGACTGCCTGATGACGGTGGCTGTAACTACCAGCGAAACGTTGCAACAAATCGCAAAACGCGCGTGTGCGGGAGTGCTCTCGCGGCGCTGCCGGCGGTGCTGCTCAAGCGGTGAGCAAATTGGCCACGTGGCAACCTGAGGCATCTCTTGACGAACGCGCCACGAGTCTCCTTCGCTGACCTCCGAACCCTGGCTGACGGGATCGCGGGCTCGTGTCCGTCATCAGAGTCGCCAAGAGCTGCTTCCTGTCTGGGGGACTCGCCGCTGTGAAGTGGCCTTGAGCCCCTCCTTGTTGTGGCCGTCGACCCTTCCTGCTTTACACACACAGGCCGCGTTGCCATTTACGGATGACATGTGGCCACTTTACAAATGTAGATCATTGTTATCATCTGACATGTGTCCACTTGATCGCTCACTGTTGACGCGAGGGTAAATTGGTGAACAATCTTACACCCGGTGCCGTGCAGCACGGTTAGCTACTTACGTGGCGAAAGCAGTTCAACTTGCATACATACAAGTGCAAACCATTATTTGCAAACGATAAGACCAATAACTTGCAGTGAAATTTAGATTTAAAGCTTTCGTGACTGCAGGGATTCATCTTCTGTGAGAATAATTGTATTGTTTTATTTTTATTATTTTATTATTTCCATTCTACGTGACTTTACCGAAAGAACCAAGAAGATGAACTTGCAGTGAGTTGTGTTGGTCTCTGGATTTCGCTCCCGTTCGTGCGACGCCCTGCTGCTGCGGTGGAGGGGCAGCCCCTGACATGCGTTCGTCCACGCCGCTGCTGCGGTAGTTCCTCCACGAGTCGAGGCAGCCCCTAGGGAGTGCTCTAATTCGGCCTACTCTTCTGTGCTGGCACGACGCCTTCGAAGAGGTTTGGTTGCCGACACGGCTACACTTGCGCCGCTGTTTCGACTGCCGCGCCGCAGATCGAAGTGTCGACTGTCTGCCAACGCCGCGGCACCCGGCATCTCAGCGGTGCGTGGGCTCAGCGCCCCGACCCACCACCCGTTGTCACGGCGCCTCTGGTGCGCGTGCGTGCGTGTGTGTTTCTCGATTTTATTTTGATATTGACAGCAGTGTTGAAGTTTGGTGCATTCACTGTGTACTGACAATGCAGTCCTTGGCATTCTATTGCGTTGTGTTTCATGTATGCATCTCTCTCCTCCTCCTCCTCCTCACCCCCCACCTCCTGTCTCTCTCGTCCCAACCCTCCTCCCGCGCAGATCGCTGCTTATGATGAGCTCTGGAGAGAGAGCAATGCAGCGTCCGACCAAACGGACTGCATCACCAAGGTAGTCGTCACGGAGTGAACCTTAGGGGACAGGGGGGACGGCTGCCCCCCCCCCCACCCCCTGCTGCCAACTTGGCAGGACCCTCTTGTGAAAGAGGCATGAGGCTCTGAGAGGCTTTCCAGGGTAAACGATCGTGATGAGTCACCATGCTAACTATGCGCCCCCTCCGTTATAAACTCCACGAGCCTCCTCGGCTACTCAACACGGGCCCGTAATCAATACGCCTATAATGGGTTCGATTATCTGCGGAGTTATTTGAGAATTTACTCCTCATCTTATTCACAGGAAAATTCGCGGATAACTGGAGTACTCTAATTTTCCACGCGTCTCCTTGTAACCGCGAAAACAAAATCACGAGAAATTGGAAGCCATTCTGCAACTACTTTTGGGTAAATTTACGGAGGGCGGCGGGTAATTGGGAGAATAGTGCCGTGAGTAGTAGTAGGGGGTTGTGCTGTTGCGGATACTCGGAGTCACGGTTAACAGAGTAAGGAACAAGAGGGGCTCTCCAATGTGTGTTGTGTGCGCGACGTGTGAATGTCTCTGTGTTGGCCAAGCCTGGGTGCGGATTGTGCGATCACGAGCGTGGGGAGCGGTAGCGCGACACGAGTTCAATTCCCGCTCGCGGCCAACATCCATTACGATTATCTGAACCGGGCATACCCTAGATCGACACAGCCTTTAATGAACATCAACACTGGTGAGACAGGGGCTTCCGGGCGTGGTATTTGTCACCACCCCCCGGCCTTCACATGTGCTGGCTCACAGCAATTGCCACAACAGTCTGTGTCCATGGCTCTAAGAGGGAGCCATGTTCCTGCATGTTTCACTTGGACAGCAGAAGGACAACGGCAATGTCTATTGGGACTCCCACCACCACCACGTGATAGCCCTCGTGGCCTGCTGCTTCTGCTGCTGCCACGTGCGCCTCTGTGGGCTCATGTGGTAGCTCCCCCCATACACTGGGGCCTTTAGTGCGGCCCCCGACAAGACACGACGAGTGAACACACCCCCGTCGTCGTCGTCACCATCGTGCTGCTGTCAAACCCACAATGGCTTCAAATGCGTGGCGGCCCTCACACTGGTGATGTCTTATCGGCGAAAGTGGCCCCCTCCACTCTGAAATGAGTGAAGAACGCTGCCTCACGCAGTCCCTCGGTGTTTGTGAAGGGGTGGGGGGCTACGACGGGGGGTGGGGGGAGTGTGAGGGGTGGGGGGAGTGTGAGGGGTGGGGGAGTGTGAGGGGTGGGGGGAGTGTGAGGGGTGGGGGGAGTGTGAGGGGTGGGGGAGTGTGAGGGGTGGGGGGAGTGTGAGGGGTGGGGGGAGTGTGGGGGGTGGGGGGAGTGTGAGGGGTGGGGGGAGTGTGGGGGGTGGGGGGAGTGTGAGGGGTGGGGGAGTGTGAGGGGTGGGGGGAGTGTGAGGGGTGGGGGGAGTGTGAGGGGTGGGGGAGTGTGAGGGGTGGGGGGAGTGTGGGGGGTGGGGGGAGTGTGAGGGGTGGGGGAGTGTGAGGGGTGGGGGGAGTGTGAGGGGTGGGGGAGTGGAGTGAGGGGTGGGGAGTGTGTGAGGGGTGGGGGGAGTGTGAGGGGTGGGGGGAGTGTGAGGGGTGGGCGAGAGTGTGAGGGGTGGGGGGAGTGTGAGGGGTGGGGGGAGTGTGAGGGGTGGGGAGAGTGTGAGGGTGGGGGGCTACAACGGGGGGTGGGGGGAGTGTGAGGGGTGGGGGGAGTGTGAGGGGTGGGGAGAGTGTGAGGGGTGGGGGGCTACAACGGGGGGTGGGGGGAGTGTGAGGGGTGGGGGGAGTGTGTGGGGGGGGGGAGTGTGAGGGGTGGGGGGAGTGTGAGGGGTTGGGGGGAGTGTGGGGGGTGGGGGGAGTGTGAGGGGTGGGGGAGTGTGGGGGGAGTGTGAGGGGGTGGGGGAGTGTGAGGGGTGGGGGGAGTTTGAGGGGTGGGGGGAGTGTGGAGGGGTGGGGGGTTTGAGGGGTGGGGGGAGTGTGAGGGGTGGGGGGAGTGTGAGGTGGGTGGGAGTGTGAGGGTGGGGGGAGTGTGAGGGGTGGGGGAGTTTGAGGGGTGGGGGGAGTGTGAGGGGTGGGGGAGTGTGAGGGGTGGGGGAGTGTGAGGGGTGGGGGAGTGTGAGGGGTGGGGGAGTGTGAGGGGTGGGGGGAGTGTGAGGGGTGGGGGGAGTGTGAGGGGTGGAGGAGTGTGAGGGGTGGGGGGAGTGTGAGGGGTGGGGGGAGTGTGAGGGGTGGGGGAGTGTGAGGGGTGGGGGGCCCATGGGACATTGCCAAGTTGGAGGCGTTCGATGTCTTCTTTAACCTCCATTAGCTCCTTTCCAGCTCAGTGCCTCAATAAAAAAACAACACCGCGGCCCTGATCCGGCGCGTGTTTCGCAGAGACGCACAATTTCGCGAAACGTTTTTTGTTTCATTGTCCGGTGTTTTGTAAATGGCGGCGCCTTGTGCGGAGGCCTTCATCCAGCAGTGGATTGGCCATGGCTGCTCAAGATAATTTAGAACCCCCCAGAAGCCAGAATGCAGGGGAAGTATTTAAGACTCACAGAAACAAATGACGACGCTTGTACGAGGACTCTTCTGGCTCAGTATAAATGCTCAAAATTATCATTCTTACCAGTTTTTATTTTTTATACGATATTTACATTTTGCTCGCAGTGTCATGTGTTGACACGAATACATTATCACGTGAAATATCTCACAGTGAGCAGAGTATCACCTTGTGTCCTCAACAATGGTCTCCAGAAGATGATGTCAAGAGCTGAAAACTGAAGTCTCATCCACAGCTGCTTTTCCACACACCGCGTGGCACATCTTGAAGCACCATGCAAGGGGTGGGCATCACATGGCAACCAAATCAACATTTCCAATCCTTTTTAAATGAAATCTGCTGAATGAAGCGAAATGTTACAATTGTGTACGGTCATTGGCAAGTCGACTGAGATAAACAACTCAGTAAACCTGACGTCTCGGTTTCATCACGCATGGCTCGAACCTGACGTCTCGGTTTCATCACGCATGGCTCGCACCTGGGTTTGAACCCCCGTGTACTGAGCCACATTTGTTCACCAAACTTAAACTTCTTTGCATTCAGTGGAGAGTTGTTTTTTTATGGTTCTTCAATAATAACAATGATCAACGGAGCATTGTTCATCGCTCGTACGCGTCGTGTTGATTACAAAAAGCAAAACAATAAGATAGTAAGAGCACGATTGGGTGTAAAGTCGCAAGATGTAAATCCATACAAAGGCAACATATAAAGATATACTGAGAATTGCAACGGCAACTGTCCTAAGCTAACCCATGAGGCTGGCGTCTTATTTTTTTTACGGACCAACAAAACGCTCCGTCAAAACCCAGCATGCATTGTGCTTATCGATCTGCTGGCGAAATGATGTAACGCTTTTTGTACGGGCAACCTGGCACTGGATGTGAGGCTGTCCTCAAATATAAAATCGGAACACGTGGGTGTTGTGAAACAATATATTTTGTGTATGATTCGTAATTGTGTTTTGGGTTAGGCTGCGTAATGATTTGACCAGATCTGTATCACTGAGAACCTTAAACCACCCAACACAACCAAACATTAATTGTGAGAAAAAAAATCTCAATATTACGTTGACCTAAAAAGAAAAAATAATCTATGATAGGTGACGTTTCGAGCAATGACCCTTCAATGGCCCATCTTTATAGTCCTGTACATGTCATTCTGACTTCCTGCATCCTGTCCTGAGAGTTTAACCCATTTTCAAGTCTGACGGCGAATCTGTTTCTTATCAAGTCGGTTATGAGGATTGTTCAGCGACTTATCAGTGAACTGCTGAAGCAATAGTACAGCCATTGGCACGGCGTTATGCGCTTGTAGACGTGTCAATTAAAATGTTTGGCTGTGTCAGGTGGTGGAGGGTTCTTAACGTCACAGATTTGGTCAGATTATGACGTGGCCTTCCCCAAAAATCAATGACGAACTGTAAGAACGGAGCTAACCTAAAGGACTCGGGCCTGTCCAGCCCGTTGGATCTGCACGTGAGCGCCGTCACACGGAGGGGACGTTGGGCCGTGCGCTGATCCGCAGAGTGACCGCAATTGATTATTTTATTTTACATTCTGTTCGAGATCAAGTTCCTTTGTTTAACCAGGTGATTCTCATATTCAACAGTTACCTGGATCGCTGATCGGACCAAAGTATAAACAAAACAAAGTGAAGCTATTAATGCACGTTTTTAACAGCCACAGATGACGGCGATCGTGGGATCGTCAGGACTGTGCGTGGGTCTGGGAGTGAGCTCCCAGGTCGGCCGACCTTGAGAATCGCCACGACAACAGCCACGTGGTCACGTGGCCCGGACCCCCCAAGTTGGTGGAACTCAAAACATGAATTGGGGGTGACGTCACTGACGTTGGTGAAGAGGCCGCGTGAGGAGTCTGGTTCCCAGCGAAGCCGCCCAGGCGAAGGTCGTCAATCTTAAGCGAATTAAACATCTGAGGGACAGGTTTCTTGATTAGGGACGATCAGTGCAGCGTGAGGTCTTCGCGGGTGTGCTGCAGTGCCGTTCTCTGGTGTGTGTTCGGCTCGTAACGCTGCCGCTGTTGTTCGGCACAATGTCTGACGTTTTGCGCTGCGTTTAGGGGGCTTCGTCAGGAATTGAAGTATAGTTGATTTTTATTCGAGTGTGAAAATTGCACGTCGTATTTGGGTTGTTTTGTGTGTGTGTGATATGTGATGGCGTGTTTCATGATCCAGTATTTTCACTAAATTTCTGTGAAAACAAAGTGCGAAATTAACTCTAGAAACACGTCAACAGTTTTCAATCTTCTTTGGTAAAGGGACATTTTCAAGGGCCTTGCATATCCTACATCCATTATTTAATTCAACAGGCAGCGATGATTACTCAGTTACTTTCAATATGTTGCTATACTGCCCCCCCCCCCCCCCCGATCCCATGGGAATGAGGAATTCCCATCAACGTTCTCAGGGACCGTCAACTGAGACGACCCCGCGATTCGCTTTCCATTCCACGGGAGAAAATACAAAACACAATGTCCCATCGGAAGACAAACGAAAGTGAAGTTTCACTCCGTCGGGCGGTGCCCGCACCGCTGCGAGTGGCTCGCAGCGTTTGGTTGACCGCGGCTCTTTGTTTTCGCAGCTGGAGCGGGAGAGGAAGATTGAAAAGCTCTGCCGAATGCTGATGAAGGTACGTCCGTCATTGCGATCGACTGGGGGAGGGGGGGGTGCAGGGCCGGCCACGCGGCGGCGCCTTTAGCCGCTTGTTGCGTAACATCCTGGGAGCAGCTTTTGTTGAACAAGGCCGACACTGCTGATGCCACCGAGAAGGTGGAAACCAAGCTGTCGTACTTAGATGTTGTTTCATGTCCACTGGATCCTAAAGACCTCGAGGCTGGTGGACTCAGACATTGTGGTATTCATGTGGGGGACGCAGACAGGACTTCTGCTTATGGGTGGCTAATGTTCCTGATCATTATTGCATATTTAAATAAAAACTTTACTACGTCGTTTTACAGACATATAAAAGACTTATTCTGGATTATACTCATGTATAGCGTTTTTTCAGCTTCACGTTCACTTAATATGCATATTAACGTAGTTGAAATTAATGTATTAAATAAATATGATTTAGTAGTAAACAATGTACATGCAGATCGCAAGAGAATTGTTTTAGAATGTTGAATAGACTGTTTTTGATGCGTGACGATCATCAGCGGTGAATGTGTTGGTGTCACGGTGGCGATGACCGCGGCTGCCCCTAATCCAGCAGCGAGGGTTGCTGGATCACACAGAGATGTCGTGAAACTCTTCCCGCAGCCGTCAACGTTGCCATACCCTAGCTTGCCATGGGAATGCTGTAGAGCAAGTGTGAACTAATCTCCATCTGTTCCATCTGTATAGGATAGAGCGTTGCCCCTCAACGGGGCACAGTCATGTCCCGAGTTACGTCTCCCCCTTTCACGTCGTTTCGCAAACACGTCGCCACTTTATGAATAACACCGAGACCTGGTCAGCGTCACCCACACCTACGTCCTCTCTCTCTCTCTATCCGTCGCCTCTCTCAGCCTTCGCCTAAACCACCACTTCCACCACCACCACCTCCACCTCCACCACCTCCACCTCCACCACCACCACCTCCACCACCTCCACCACCACCACCACCACCTCCACCACCACCCACTACTACCCACTACTACCCTGCACATCGCTTCTTTGATTGACGTCGCACGTAAACCGGGGTTTCACTGCACTCGGGTTGCTTCCCATGTGTATAACTATTCATTAGTTCGGATTTGTGTTATCGATTTAAAATGATTGTTGTCTTATTATAATTGGGGTAGGCAGATGACATACCTACACCGCCACTTTCCATAACCACACTCTTTACCTTCACCACTATCATATAATGTACAATTGTATAATTGTTATAAAGTGCTTTGGAATAAGGCTTTATATAAATCTATATAAAATAATATAAGATATAGCAGCTTTAACTGCAGTCATTGTGACTTGCCATACATTTGAATGGGCGCCATGGTGGTGAGATGTTAACTCCCTCGCCTAGTATACAGGAGGTCGTTGGTTCGATCCCGACTCTGACGCCTGCTGCTGTGTATTTGGTGTTTGCGTGTCTCTCTCCCCGTGGTCGTGTGGATTTCTCTCCGGGTCCTCCGGTTTTTCTCTCCACATTTAGAATCAGCATCACGCGTTTAGATTATGTGGCTGCTGCTATAAATGTCCACGTGATAAGCCACTTCGTTGAGCTGTCATTTGTGGCCAGGTCGCTTCTGAAAAGAGCTGTATAGCTCAGTGGGCCTTACCTGGTAAAATATGAAATAGTTTAGAATGACGAGCGTGGTCGCAGTGAGTTCCCGCGAGGAGGCATCTCCACCAAGGTGTGCTGGCCAGCGTGGTGAGGTATGGTCAAGAACCCCCCAGGACTTTCATAAAACCACGCACCCCCCCCCCCCAATTCCCAATAGCTTGTGTAACACCAGCAATGGCTATCGTAGGGCACGGGTGAAGGGACAGCCAATGCTAAGAATATCTGGCTTTCAAATACTTGCTGAGATTGATGAGACGGACACCCACAAATTACAAATTCAGTGATTAAAGGCGTCCATTATGACGGCTGGGATTTAGAGTTTATCTCAATTCAGACTTTCCCACAATTTCCAAGAGTTAAACAAGCAGGCAAAGATGTTGCACTATTTGGTTGGAATGCGTTTCATCGATGGACCCAATGGGTCTTATTCAAGACGAAATGTTTTCCCCAGTGGCAATTGTTTGGTAGACCAAGCAACCTTGGATCACGTTTCACTTCATTGCATCTAATTAGCTGGCAACCAACTCGCCGCCTCATAAACCAATGTCGCTCGTTCTAATCAGTCTTCGCAGGCTCAGAATATGTCTTTGACCTTTTACTGTGAATGGACTCGCATATTTGTCACCGTGAGCAACACGCGCAGCGCTGGCAACTCCTCACGCTCGCAGATTGTCGCGTCACGCAGCCGAGCTAAAGGTCGCGACGCGTTCAAGCTCTGAAAACAAACAAACCCGAAATTAAAACGTTTATCTCGTCAGGTCTAGTGCCCATCACCAAAAGGGCTCGTTCATTGCCCCCACAGTGAGTGGGCACGCATGCCCTGGGCGTGCCCTCGGGGTCTGCACCGCCGCTTGAGTAAATTCTGCGACTTGAATGCGCACCGAGAGCGATCGATCTTCACTTCGCCGTGACGCTGCACATTACGGAGGGCGCCGAAAGCATCTCGCGTCTGTGACCTCGGGGCCAGTTTTAGGGTCACGGCACTCGCCACCAGCGGTCGCAACGCCTTGGGGCCTTGCGCACTGCGCCCAAAGTGAGACGCCAAAAGGCGAGCGCGTGGAGGTCTCGCGCCAATGGACGCGGTGGGGGGACAGCTCTGCTCGGCGTCTCCTCCTCGATGAGGCTGCGTCACGCGTGGAGGCTCAGCACCCCGGGGAGCTGCCTGCACGCCGCTCAGGAGAGTTCTGGGCGCTCCACGACCAATCACGCGCGGTGTCACAGCGGACAGAATTGCAAGGTCACACCGCCTAAGGCAGCTGTGTTCATTACTCTTATAATGATACAAAATAATACGAAAACAATCATATCGATGATGCCCCTTCTTGGTTCTCCGATGAGGTTTTTCGCGGTTGACCGCGCGCGGCTCGGCACGGTGGCTGCGACCTTCTCGCTCCTCGTTGCTTCCGAATTGTTCGGCTCATACGAGAACCTGGGAGCGGAACGTCAGACATCGCCTGCCGAACAACAAACGCGCGGTTCAACCTGAAAACGCATCGGAGAGCCACGCAGCACAACCACGGAAACCAACGCAGCACAACAACATCAACAACATCAACAACAACATCAACAACATCAACATCAATACCAACATCAACAACATCAACAACATCAACAAAATCAACAAAATCAACAACGACGCCTTGCGTGGATCTTTTTATAATTGGCCCGTGACGAAACGAACGCCTCAGAAACACAACGAGGGGGTCGGGAGGCAATGGCAGGGAGCGAGCGAGCCTCTGCCGAAGTCTCTACCCGGACAAATCCCACCGTGCGTCACGAGGGGAGAACACTCACAGCTCCGCACAAATGGATTTATGAAACCCACTTTGTATCGTCATCCACTGGCCACCTCGCAGCCCAGCGTCGCCCGCGAGCTCTGCATTGTCAACTTGTGCCGCAATGTCCGGCTGCGGCAGAAGGGACTAGCGGTTCAAGAGCGATTCCTTCTTGGGCATCCGTGAACACTGCGCGGTGTGGATGCGTCTCTGTTGCCAATTCGTGCACACGGGCGACTGCGTCGTGAGATGGTGGCCAGGCCTGGTGGGTGCGATCGCCGTCATTATGCGGGGACACGAAGCAGAGCAAATGCACGACAAGATCCTAACGTCGCCAAAGACACGCGGTAGAGAGGCAAGCGAAGGATTATAAAATAAAACGCGGCCCACTCACAAGCGCACAGGGCACATATCTCCCAAACAGCTGTTGGGGAAACTGCTGTTCGTGGCAGTGCAAACGAGCGCGTGGGTGACCAACACCCATGCGCAGCCACCTTCGTTTCCCCAATGCTGATGTTTACACACTGGACCAAATACTCATTTATGGCTGAGTATAGCTAGGGGAGGCTCAGGTCCGGTTCAGATGTTCATCAGCGTTGCTGGCTGTGAGCGGAAATCAAACTCGGGTCAGTGTGTTCGTAGCACAGTGCTCTAACCACTGCACTACCGGTCCCCACGATATATATACGCACACCACAAACACAAATACCCATGTAGTCTAAACAGGCTGTTGGGGTGAGTGCTGTTAGCGAGCACCAGAGGTGGGACAAAGTCATTGTTATGCAAGTCCAAGTCGAGTCTGAAGTCATCAAATTCATGACTCGAGTCTGACTCGAGTCCAAGTCACATGACTCGAGTCCACACCTCAGAGGTGGGACAAAGTCATTGTTATGCAAGCCCAAGTCGAGTCTGAAGTCATCAAATTCATGACTCGAGTCTGACTCGAGTCCAAGTCACATGACTCGAGTCCACACCTCTGGCGAGCACCTATTAAGGCCGGCACGGCACACGAGCGGGTGGCTGGCCAACACCATGACCGGCCGCCTTTGCCTCCTGAATGGCGATGTTGAAACACCGCACCAGGTACGGGAATCGAACTCGGGTGGGCGGCTTTGTAGCGCAGCGTGCTAACCACTACACACACAACACACGCCACTACACACACAACACACACGTACGCTCATGAGCGCACGTGATTGTTACTAGCAACACACGGGGGTCATCTCGGTTCACTCTACTTCGGCCTGAGCCACTGCGCTGTGCCTCGGTCTGCCGCTGCGAGCCGCCCCCACACAGAGCGAGCGAGCCAGGGAGCCGTGAGCCGCGCTGCTCGGCGTCAACGTGGTCGCTTGCGGGGGCCGGTGGGGGGGAGGGGCGGGGCTATATTGGTTTTGTGCCCGCGGATGAGACGTCCGTGTGTATGGCGTGTGGCGCAATGTGCTGTGCTCCGTGGTGCCCGCGGCAGCCTCCCTGCGGATGAAATGCCCTCGACTGGCGCATGCGGCCGGAGCGCGCTGGGGTGGGCGGTCGAGGGGGACCCCTCTGGCACTGGTTACATAAACCATCGCCACCCTCGTCGGCATCGTT